GATGCTGTACCAGATACACTGTATTACACATGCCCTCTCACATACTGTAACAGTCAGATGATATATACTGGCGGCGTCATCGGTGATGTCTTATGGCGGTATCTTTTGCCGCACCTTCACTAAAATAATATTTTATGAAACAATAAATATATTGAAATTTTGATAAAAGATAAAAATTAAATTCCGGCATCCTGATAAAGGTTAGCCAATTACGCCAATACCATTGTCTGTGTGTTATCTATTATTTAAGTGAACAGAGCTTCATTGCATGTTATGAATTAAGGCTAGCATGGTGCTAGGTAGCTGATGCTGCAGTGAGTTCTTGGAAGGATTTCGGAGGTACAAAAATACCTGGTAGTGCTTCGTGTGGCAAAGACCAACAATAACGGTGTGCTACAGATCTAGAGAGAGAGACACAACTATGTAACGCTCTCTCCTTGGATAGGAGGCGTCGAGTTTGTCTTAGGATGGAATTGTGGTGCGACACATAACAGACACAATCAATAAAGTTCAAATCTGTATTCACTCCAGCAAGTAAAGTTCACCAGTGATCATGTTTACGCATTCAAACGATACATTAATTCCTCTTCCGTATCTATACACACATTTCAACTGTTTGTTTTTCACACTACATCTTCCATTCTCCATTCTAACTAATCTACGACTAGCAATAAAACTCTAAAACTAAAAATTGTACTTACAGAAGTTATTTAATTTATGCATGAGTGTACCTTGTCCTTGTTCTATATTTAGTAATTCTCAAAATAAAAATCAATACTAACTATCTACCGTTCGTATGCTACGATTCAATACAAATATAACAAAGTGGTATTTTTTGCCCTCTTAACGATTTGTTTGAACAGACATAAAGTCGGGTTTCAGGCGGACGCGGAAGTATGATATCGTTTGTACGGGCACATTCCTTGTATACAGGATTTCTATTGATAAAATATGACCATTTATAAGTTATACGTTTAACTGAGTCAACAAACATGATATTTAATGTGCATCATTAATAACGTTTGCATTATAAGCCACACCCAAAGTCTCCAAACATTATAACGTGACACGATTGAAATTCATCTATACAAATCATTTTTTCAATATAAATGAGATGACCCTGGCCTGTCATTTACATTTCATGTTAAATGCTTGATAGAATTCATATTATTCATAATAAAACCACAAGTACACAAGACTTGTAGAGAGGCCAGAATATTATGCAAACGGAACATACAAAGTAGAGTCAAATGCTGTATGCACTCACTGTAACGTAGTGTTCATGATATAATGCTAACTCATTAATCATTTCCTTGTATGGATAGTCCGATATATAAAGATAAATGACCGGGTGTTTAATAATTTCTGTTCACTCGGTATGACATCAGTAAGGTACTACAATGTACTACATTAGGTTGGTCGGATGGCTTAGTGGAGAGCGCACTTGCCTTTCACCAAGACGACCGGGGTTCGATTCCCCCCGATCGGATGTGAAAAGGTATGGGGTCACCTGCCCGACCACGTGGGTTTTCTCGGGGTATTGCGGTTTCCTCCCACACCAAGACCCTCCACGCGCTACCAATCCGGGCTAACAAGAGTGATTAATATAAGTTGAAATAACTATATAATTGTTGTAAAATAAATAAAGTTTATATTTACGTACTACAGAGTACAGTAGGCCCTTAGTAGACACCGCGAAGTACTATAAATCACAGCAGGTCCTAGAATGGTACTTCTAGCGCAACAAAGTACGGTTGATCCTTCACAAGGTACTGCGAAGTAATGCAAAATGCAATAAGCGCACAAATCGTCTAATAACTTGATTCTTGCCTGCAAAACAAAAAACCAAAAACCAAAAAAAAAATTAAAAAAAATTCTTACTGACATCACGGCAATTTTATCAGGGTTGGAGTCGTATTGTGAAATTGTACTAAAGTTCATAAAGTGGAATCAAATTGATTTGGATATTGAAGAACTCAAAATATCTTTTGATCATCTTAAAAAACCAAATGCTTATTCTGTTGTATGAACATTTGCTTTTCTCACCCTGTACACTACCAGACTGAATCATTCGTTCATATATCAACATTGAGTTTTCTTTTCAAAATTAGGCAAACAGCGTTAAAATATATATATTGTTGTGAAATATTTCAGCAAAATTTTGTTAAAAACAGCACAAAACCAAAGAGGAAATATATTGAGGATAAAAGCGAGTGTATGATCGAATCACAAGTTGACAACATTGGTGTTAAACTAATCGTCTATAAACACATGTTCCTATAGGGAACGCAATAATATTAATGAACTTGTAAGTCACTCTTAAGAGTGACTTACATGTTCATTAATATTAGTGTTAAAGTTTACGGTAAGATTTAAAACATACTGACTCTATACCAATGCAGATTACTGTACTCCCCTAAATCACCGATTTGTTTTTGTGTCATACGAGGTTTATCAAACAAAAGACAAAACACAATCTGGGTAAGCTCTATCTTACTTTTAGATGCATCAATGGTATGCTGTATTTAAGTTACAAGAAAGTTTGGGTCACGTTGATCAATTATGCCCTCTCGAACTTGAAATTAATGCGTCTACATAATCGTTTACATCTGTTGTTTACCTCGATCTAAACACTTGCATAACACCGATACGACTTACTATTAAACTGCATCATCACGAGTTCGATTTTCCTAGTGAGAATTTTCCCTTTCTTGATAGTTACAACCCTGCTTTTTCCATATACGGTATCTAAATGTCGCAGTCGATTCAGTCATCATGCACTTTCTCCAAATATTGCAATTATCTGTGATGTATGACGAATTCTGACGGACAAACTATAGGGAAAAATGCACGGTTTCGAGCAATGAAGGTTGTTACAGAATATAAAGAGGTTTTTACTGTTGTAGTCATGATCTTATTGTTAAATATCATATTTCCTTGTGCAACATATTGTCATTGTTTTATGATTTTTTTTTGTAATTATATTCAATAGTGGTCTTTGAGGTTTCGTTTTCACCAACCCTATTCTATCTTCAAGAACTTGATATTGTTAGGATTTGACATGGATTCACATAGCGGGTATCGTCGACTAAGTACTAGCATAGTATTTTATGGAAAAGTGAACAAATTTAAATAAGAATAGAATGTGATGAAGTCAATGAATCCCTAGCCAAAAATAAACAAGAGGCCCAATGGGCCTGAATCGCTCACCGGGTATTCATTTCACACTTGTTATCTTAAAAGTAGACTAAAATACAACTACAGGCAGAATATCACTGTTTTATTAATAAGAACCTATGAAAATATTTAAACATATGACTCACGTGACATTGAATGACGAACAAGGACATTAGGTTGAACAGAGTTTATAGTCTTCCAACCCAGCATGCTTCTAGCAATATATCATTACCCTGGACTTTTAGATTATACAGAACAAATCATTTTAAGATTTAAACATATATTGACCACTGTGACCTTGAATATGGATGACGGTCATTTATTTTAACAAACTTAGTAGCCCTTCATCCCAGCATGTTACTGGCCAAATATCATCACCCACCCTAGGCCTCTCGGTTATTCAGAAGAAGATGTTTAAATGTTTTCAATATATTTGACACCAGTGACCTTGAATATAAGTCAAGGTCATTTATTTGTACAAACTTAGTAGCCCTTCATCCCAGCATGTTACTGGTCAAATTTAAGCACCCTAGGCCTTTCGGTTATTCAGAAGAAGTTGTTTAAAGGTTTTAAACTTATTTGACCCATGTGACCTTGAATAAAGGTCAAGGTCATTTATTTGAACAAACTTTGTAGCCCTTCATGTCAGCATGTTACAGGCCAAATATCACCACCCTAGGCCTCTTGGTTATTCAGAAGAAGTTGTTTAAATATTTTAACATATTTGACCCCTGTGACCTTGAAAATTGATGAAGGTCATTTATTTGAACAAACCTCGTAGGTCTTTTGGTTACTGAGAAGAAGTTGTTTAAAGTAAAAAGTTGACGCCGGACGACGGACGCCGAACCATGCCATAAGCTTACTTGGCCCTTCGGGCCAGGTGAGCTAAAAAATACTGTTCGCATTGCGTCTATTTTTTTTGAAACAATCTTTTCATATTTATTTTTTTATAATAAACTCAAACTGCTTATGAATGGCTGAGAAACTTTTGTCAAAGTATGAGATAATATGCTATAATAAATGGATTTTGCTGAAAACGATCAAATTCAAAATGTAGAAATTAGAAATCCACCATTTTTTTATGTGATTGATTTCATCTTTATAAAATGATAAAAACAATTTTGTATTTTGGTTGGTGAATATGATGTGATATTGATATCGTTTCGGTTAATATGGTCTTCTGTTATCAATATCACAACATATTCACCTTGAATTAAGACCATAATTGTATAATATATATGTTATATGGAAATACTGTGTTGTATATTTTACGCTCTCTTTAATGTTATTTAATATATTGCTTGCCGATCTATATCAAAGTGACGTTGTATCATACCTGGTACTCCTTGCATATACCGTTTGAATAACAGCTAATTCACAGATTATTGCAATCAAGTTGGAATGGCTGTATTCAGTTCATGCCGACTGAAATATTGATAGTCCTCTCTATCATACATTGTTGTAGAGCTCAATTCATCATATTCTGTTGTACTGGACACCAGGCAGGTTAGAACGCACTTCAAAGCTTGTCCCTTCCTCCAAGGAACAAACTAGACAGTACATATCAGAACACTAAAACTTACAAAATATACAGAAGAAAACAAAATGCTGCAAGATGAATCACAGGTACGACTTTATGACTGTATATAAACCAAGCATCAGCCAAATGTCGACTGAATCATACACGCTGAGATGTTAGCGCGGACGATCCAACTGCGCGAAATTTGATTTTTATCATATTACTATATTTATATTTGCATAATCTGATGTTATAATTTGCATATATAAATATCCATATCGCCTGTTAGCTGATATTATAATTGTCAAAGGTTTATTATCGTATAGCCTCATCCCACGCTTTTAACGTTCGTTTATGCGAGACACATCAGTAGGCATTATCTTTTAAAGCCATGGTGGATTTTGTTTTCTTTTCTGTATTTTCTTACTTGAATTGAGACAAGTATTACATGAAAAGCTTTAAACGATTCAGAAGGGAAGTTGTTAGTGTGCTGTAACGACGAGGATCTTACCTGTTCACAAAGGTAAAACGCACTTTGTAATGCCGCCTTACTGCTGCACACTGAATATCTCTTCATTATACAGAGTGCGGACAAATGTTGCAGTAATGCGCTTTTACATTATATTATCAATTTTATTTTCTTAATGCTTGTTTAACATGGTGTGATTTCAACGTATGCTAATTTAGAGTTTATGATAATTAAGGACTCGTTTACCGTGTTTAGATCGCTAGTGAACCACATTATTTCCTGTTTTTGGCAGGAAACATCGTGAGCTGATATTCTATTTCACTGTCTGCAGTGATATAGGACGACGTTTTAATAATTTTTCTGATTCTTGGTGATCATCATGCTTTCACGAACCTGAACAGATATCCAAATCCACTGCTGGCTGTGATTATTGAGGTGTCCACAATGTTTAAGATAGTTGGTTAGATAAACTATAAATGTTGATTTGACAAGTAAACATCGTGACCTGATGGGCAAACTCACAATTTCCAATGGTTAAGGAGTTGCTCGTTATTATTTTTGATAATTAGTTATTAACATACCTTTATGGGCATACCTTAAGGTAGTGAAACAGCTCACTTTAGGAACACCTGGTTTAGGTCTAAATTTTGTTGCGTCCATGACACATTTCTTTTTGTTTGTGTGAACCTCCTTTTCCGTTATCTTGTCTTTCCCAATCGAATTTAAGATCTGCATCTTATCAAGATATATTGACACTGGCATATTGTTCGAAAAAGTTACCGTGTGATACAGTAAACTATTTACTTTGTTTGGATTTTTCTATCTACAAGCAAAGGGTTGTAATAAGTGCTTCAATTTTTCATATTTCTTGTAATTATTGCTTTTATTCTAGTTTTAATTTCACCTGCATTGATATGTTATTTTATTGTTAGGACTTTCCAAACTTAAAAGGGAAATGTGTTGTTTTGCCATACCTCAAAGATGCACGAATAGATCACGTTTCAGAAAACAAGATATGTTTTTCCTTTTGACCTATGATGTCAGTGATTACGTAATTATCACGACAGTAATCAAATATCATTGCCTGTGTGTTTTCCTGAATAAATAGAGCTGCGTTACATGCTCAAATACACAAACGATTGTTGTGATAACCCTTTATTATAATGCCCATACTGGCCGATTGGTTTTCAAATATCTTGTGCAGCCTTATTATTCACGGTAAGAATAAGTTTTAGGGAACTTTACGCGCTAAAGAAATGGTCTGGGTTATTTTTTTACATTAAACAAACTAGCAATACAAACACTACATACCGCGAATTTCTTGTTAACTTAGCCTGAAAACTCAACACTTAAGGTTCCACGGGAAGTATTACTAATAGAAGATAAACAAACTGAACAATCGTCTTTGTCAATTATTCATGTATGCATGTTTCTACAGTGTACAGGTAGATGCGGCTACCATACGGTAACATTATACTAATAGTAAGTTGGCGTTTTATTGTCAAGATATTCTGTCTATTCATTTTTATACTTCAGTTGAATCTTGTGAGAGCCTCGACAATACTCATAGACTACGCACTGGGTCGCTGTAAAACTAAATTCTGCTTTTAATATTTTGCTTCTTCATTTAAGGTCAAATATAGTTCACAAACAATATAATGATGGGTTTAAAAAACGGAAAACATAAAGAACCATGGGAACCGAACTTAGTCACACAAAGCTTCACAGTAAATAAGTAACATACTTTAAAAATGACACTTAAACTGGGACTAATTATACAAGTCCTGCCGCACAAATGATAACTTATTGATAATATTCTCAGATATATACACATCTTAAGAACACTCTCCGTAAATCAAAGTCGAATGAATAATGAGGGAGAAAACGTTGATGTTTTTTAGGATGCTGTTGTTTTCCAATCCACATATAATTCAATTCAATAAACGTATTTAATACTGCAAAGTTTGTGGTGCGTGTAAATTTCTTAAGGGGTACACCGATCGGCGTAAAGTCTGGAGTCGGAGACCTAGCTAGGCCGCAAATACGTTGTTGTTTGCACTTACTTTGCTGGATGTAGCAAAATATTAATTGTATCTATACAGAAAATGTCACAACATCGTATAATTATGATATACCAAAGAACAATAAATTATATAACACTTATTGTATCTGTAATTATGTAGATAAGGACACGCAACTTATTTTTTTTACATCAATGAATGGTATTTATTTTCAAAAAAGTTTTCCGGGCAGGTAATAATGACACTTATTTTAGATACGCAGTGATATAGTAATTTCAAGCCAATATTTCTGATGTCACGATTACTGCTTTGTTATTGATACAGTGGTTAGTATCAGTAACAAAACAATGGTTGAACTGAAGAAAAAAATATCCTTTGTCTAAATGAAGGATACTGTAGCTTGCTAAATGTACATGCTTAATTGTATTTTTGTTTTATAAAATGTTTACATAAATTTCAAATTCATAAGCTTGTTTGAGCTCACCTGGCGCAAAAGTCTAAACAACCTTATGTCACGGGTCAACAACCGTCGTCCGTTATTATCTTATTCATTAATTGACTATTACGTCCGGAACGGCTTAAGCAATTTAATTAAAATAAGCTTCGGTCATTTACCGGCCAAGGGAATCCAATGTTGTATACACGAAGGAACGGAACCAAATTTGAAATAGAGGTTGACCTTTAACAACTACTTCTCAAGAACCCATCAATGGATATAATTCCGATTTGACACCGAATATCACCGAGACCAGGTAAAAAGATTAGTACGGTGTCCCTATGAGCGACTGAGGGGGAATCCTTAGGGAAATGATGGTAAATCTTGAAAACACTGCCCTTAATTTCGAAGGAATTACATAAAAGTAATATCAACTTCATTTAGCACGGAGCATTCCTGAATGAAAGATAAGTAAAGGGCGTGACCCCCTTAGTTGCATAGGGATTTGGGTTAAAGGGGGAAAAGGGACAGTAATAAGGTTGGTGATAACCAAAATCGGTGCAAATGCACGTCTCACGACGATTTGATACTTTTCAACGTGATGCCGTGCAAATACCAATCTTGCAACCCTGACCAAAAGTTGCTATGCTTAGGACCAATTAACATTTATGTCCGCTGCTTTTCCTACGATTAGTCCAGACATTTGTTTTTAACTTTATTTGGGCAATGCTGTCTAGACATATACATAATATGAACAATGCACTCATTGTTCTGAAGAGATTTTGCTGTTTCTTTGGGTTGGTTTGAAATTTAAAATGACTAGCCTGGTCTTTGAAGTGATATTGTCGACTAATTTTCAATGCCACCAGATCAATTTTGACCAAACTTCGTATAAATGTTCCTACGATTACCCTAACCAAGTGTTGCTACTTTGATTCTGTCGGTAAATGAGACATTTGAGCTTGCTTCAATGGTTTCAATTTAGAGGAAACTTTAGTTCAGATGACAAAAGAAAGAGGTGAGCGATACAGGCCTGACGAACGGTATTAATGTTAGCATAACGTGTTATTATGTTCACCAAAAGGTTGATTACAAATGTTGACATTAGATATGTGTGTGCTCATAGCAGATCATTTTTGAATAAATAGGAGTACAATCAGTCACCGTAATTAGCCTTAACTCTGTAGCCGATATTATGATAAGTCTTACGATTTATCAACGGTGTGTTAGTTTTTTCGGTCAATTTTAGCATTTGCAGCTCTTGTGTTAAACATTACACAAAAAGTAGGGAGAACGAACTATGATATGTAGTTTTATAAAAAAAATTATTTTGTTCCCCCATTTTTCTACCTGATATCTCGGAAAAGTCTCTATGCTGACCTTATTTCATTTCCTTCCTGTGAGTGTTTTTGTCTTTTTTCTCTCTCTCATTTGAATTATTAAATGATCAGTATACCAAATGTTATTGTTTATGTGTAGAAGACGAGTATAATTTAATTATAATTTCTAATTTTTATTCTAATATTTGAACAAAAATATATCAAGCCATATTTCTGGCGTCGTCCTTCTGTATTCAAGCTTGTACAATGCAACTCCTGCCTATAAGGAATGTTAAACGAATGAATAAATAATCTTGGTAATTTTGTTTATGTATTTTCACTGCTAGGCGGGACTACTACTAATATTATCGTGTTTTGTCAAATAATGTGCTGTGTTATCCAGTGAATATTAACCCATGTAATATGACCTATCAGCGCTGTGATTGGTTGTAAGTTTCAATTGTTTCAATTGTGACGTCACGACTAGGACAAGTACATGACGTCACAGACTTACGCAATGGAGTCAAAATGGCGTCTTTTTACATTTAAAGGGTGCCAATGTAAATTGTCGTTTTACACGAATAAATGCCACAACCCTTGATACAAAGGATCTTACACTCGTTTTCATTTCATATGAAATTTATGAAACTCGTCACGAATTTTTCATTTCAACTCACCAGAGGCTCGCTAAATTGATTTTTTTATTAAGACTCGTTTTATGAATCTCATGCAAAATGGAAACTCATGGTAGATCATATATATATCGTATTATCGTATACTACATTTATTAATTGCCCATAGTATGACACGGGAGCGAAATTGTTATACATTGCTCAGCCTTCGTTATCTTGTATATAATCTATTTAACATGTTTATCACAGGTATGGTATTGCGTTGTAAAACTTCAACCGAATTGAGTACAAAAATGGTTATGCACCAAATACGAGCAATTGGAAATATTTAAACTTGACTACATATTAATATTTATATACACTACTGTACATTGATTATGTATACCTGACTTAGTGTGTATCATTGTAAATAGACGTAAATGAAGCATCACATCATAGGCGTTTCTTCTCTCACTTTATTTTGAATAAATATTTATAAAAAAATACTCTCACAGATAGGTTGATTTGTATAAATGTTAATTTTGACATTAATATTTTTACAGTTTGTCATATTTCTTTTTCCAAATTGTCTTACTGGTATGATCCTTTTAACGTTTGATGATTTTGTGTTCAGAAATCAGCTATAGGCGACAGTTTGGTCACAAAACAGTTATTTTCGATAGCAATGACTTGCGTTTTAAAACCATAAAATAAATTAAAGCTGTACGCCCGAGTACTGATTTTTTTTTTAACATCCTGGTCTGCTGACTCCCACGAGCAGGCCACTCCCTAGCAAACTTCCTTGTTAGCAAACGGTAGAAGTTAGAACGGATCGTTGTCTAAAACCTAATGTTTACACGCATGATTGTGTTAATGTTTCGTTTGGTTAAATGTATAGCTTTAATCAGTTAGCATTCAAATGTACATTTGTACATTCACAAAAAACAATCAGAGATCTGGATTTGTATAAATGTCACGTAATGGTGTGGTTTTTTTTGTAGAATATCTAGTTAAAATTATATTCCTTATGCAAATTTTACCGCGCAGAAATCGTGTTGATCTGTCCATGGATAATATTCGAGTTAACACATGCATGCATGTTATTGTATCACGTGAGTTTTCAATATATTAAATAATACACCTCCTACATGATCTAGGCAGCTTATGATGTTAATACATGGTGTGTTCGAAGTTAACTCAAAGATTTTCTCCAGTGATTCTACAAACACTACCTGTATGTAACATTCGCTTCAAAGATTACCAACCTGTTTAAATAAAACGATACAGTGGTTACAATTTAATTTTATAATAATTCCTTATATTCGAATTCAAATAAACTAAATTTGCACAGGGTACGCTCCGCGAGTTTTAGCGTTACATGTATTTCCCAGCGGTCACACTGTTATGTAGTGTGACAAAGGTCAAACTATTTTAAACATCTCAAATACCACACAACCGCTTGGGTGTATCAAAGGATATGTGTACCATTGTTCATCGTTACGAATAGTTTCATCTAACAGGTGTTTTATCAAAATAATGTCTTTCAATCGAAATTCTTGTCTTGAACGGGTTAAAACTGTCTTGTAAAGAAGATGCGTCATAGCAAAAGTCTATTTAAACAGTACATGTGCATCCGGGACAGTCTGACAATAAGACAACCGCGCTGTAATACAATACACAGGACTTATTTAATTATCCTATTTTTAGTCTAAGCAGGAAAACTCATTTGAGCGGGAGGAATAACGTTGTGCCAGAGATTATATAAAGAGGATCGTATGTTACCTTGGGTTAATATCTGAGGAGCTCCACACAACCAAAAGGTAGGTACCTTGTAATATACCTGTTAACTTTAACGTGTTAATTTGTCAAGAAAACTTCCACATGTGTAATGAAAATAGTAAAAGATTTAACTTCCACAAGAGGGGTGACAATAGTAAAATATTTAATTTCCACAAGAGTAGTGGCATTAGTAAAAGATTTAATTTCCACAAGAGTTGTGACATAAGTTAAAAATTTAACTTCCACAAGAGTTGTGACATTAGTAAAAGATTTAATGTCCACAAGAGTAGTGACATTATTAAAAGATTTAATTTCCACAAGAGAAGTGACATTAGTAAAAGATGTAATTTCCACAAGAGTTGTGACATTAGTAAAAGATTAAATTTCCACAAGAGTAGTGACATTAGTAAAAGATTTAATTTCCACAAGAGAAGGGATATTGGTAAAAGATTTAACTTCCACAAGAGTTCTGACATTAGTAAAAGATTTAACTTCCACAAGAGATGTGACATAAGTTAAAAATTTAACTTCCACAAGAGTTGTGACATTAGTAAAAGATTTAATTTCCACAAGAGAAGGGATATTGGTAAAAGATTTAACTTCCACAAGAGTTGTGACATTAGTGAAATATTTAATTTCCACAATAGTTGTGACTATAGTAAAAGATTTAACTTCCACAAGAGTAGTGGCATTAGTAAAAGATTTAATTTCCACAAGAGATGTGACATAAGTTAAAAATTTAACTTCCACAAGAGTTGTGACGGTAGTTAAAAATTTAACTTCCACAAGAGTTGTGATGGTAGTTAAAAATTTAACTTCCACAAGAGTTGTGATGGTAGTTAAAAATTTAACTTCCACAAGAGTTGTGATGGTAGTTAAAAATTTAACTTCCACAAGAGTTGTGATGGTAGTTAAAAATTTAACTTCCACAAGAGTTGTGACGGTAGTTAAAAATTTAACTTCCACAAGAGTTGTGACATAAGCTAAAAATTTAACTTCCACAACAGTTGTGACATAAGTTAAAAATTCAACTTCCACAAGAGTTGTGACATTAGTAAAAGATTTAACTTCCAAAAGAGTTGTGACATTAGTAAAAGATTTAATTTCCACAAGAGTTGTGACATAAGTTAAAAATTTAACTTCCAAAAGAGTTGTGACATTAGTAAAATATTTAACTTCCAAAAGAGTAGTGACATTGGTAAAACATTTAACTTCCACAAAAGTAGTGACATTAGTAAACGATTTAATTTCCACAAGAGTGGTGACATTGGTAAATATTTAACTTCCACAAGAGTAGTGACATTGGTAAAAGATTTAACTTCCACAAGAGTTATGACATTAGTAAAAGATTTAACTTCCACAAGAGTAGTGACATTAGTTAAATATTTAATTTCCACAATAGTTGTGACTATAGTAAAAGATTCAACTTCCACAAGAGTAGTGGCATTAGTAAAAGATTTAATTTCCACAAGAGTTGTGGCATTAGTAAAAGATTTAATTTCCACAAGAGTAGTGACTTTAGTAAAAGATTTAATTTCCACAAGAGTTGTGGCATTAGTAAAAGATTTAATTTCCACAAGAGTTGTGACATAAGTTAAAAATTTAACTTCCAAAAGAGTTGTGACATTAGTAAAAGATTTAATTTCCACAAGAGTTGTGCCATAAGTTAAAAATTTAACTTCCACAAGAGTTGTGACATTAGTAAAATATTTAACTTCCAAAAGAGTAGTGACATTGGTAGAATATTTAACTTCCACAAAAGTAGTGACATTAGTAAAAGATTTAATTTCCACAAGAGATGTGACATAAGTTAAAAATTTAACTTCCACAAGAGTTGTGACGGTAGTTAAAAATTTAACTTCCACAAGAGTTGTGATGGTAGTTAAAAATTTAACTTCCACAAGAGTTGTGATGGTAGTTAAAAATTTAACTTCCACAAGAGTTGTGATGGTAGTTAAAAATTTAACTTCCACAAGAGTTGTGATGGTAGTTAAAAATTTAACTTCCACAAGAGTTGTGATGGTAGTTAAAAATTTAACTTCCACAAGAGTTGTGACATAAGTTAAAAATTTAACTTACACAACAGTTGTGATATAAGTTAAAAATTCAACTTCCACAAGAGTTGTGACATTAGTAAAAGATTTAATGTCCACAAGAGTAGTGACATTAGTAAAAGATTTAATTGCCACAAGAGTTGTGACATTAGTAAAAGATTTAACTTCCAAAAGAGTTGTGACATTAGTAAAAGATTTAATTTCCACAAGAGATGTGATATTGGTAAAAGATTTAATATTCTACAAGAGTTATGACATTAGTAAAAGATTTAATTTCCACAAGAGATGTGATATTGGTAAAAGATTTAACTTCTACAAGAGTTATGACATGAGTAAAAGATTTAACTTCCACAAGAGTTGTGACATTAGTTGAATATTTAACTTCCACAATAGTAGTGATATTAGTAAAAGATTTAATTTCCAGAAGAGAAGTGATATTAGTAAAATAACTAACGTCCCTAAGAGTAGTGACATTAGTAAAAGATTTACCTTCTACAAGAGTTATGACATGAGTAAAAGATTTAACTTCCACAAGAGTTGTGACATTAGTTGAATATTTAACTTCCACAATAGTAGTGATATTAGTAAAAGATTTAATTTCCAGAAGAGAAGTGATATTAGTAAAATAACTAACGTCCCTAAGAGTAGTGACATTAGTAAAAGATTTAACTTCCACAAGAGATGTGACATAAGTTAAAAATTTAACTTCCACAAGAGTTGTGACATTAGTTAAATATTTAACTTCCGCAATAGTAGTGATATTAGTAAAAGATTTAATTTCCAGAAGAGAAGTGATATTAGTAAAATAAATAACGTCCCTAAGAGTAGTGATATTAGTAAAAGATTTAACTTCCACAAGAGTTGTGACATTAGTAAAAGATTTAACTTCTACTAGAGTTGTGACATTAGTGAAAGATTTAACTTCCGCAAGAGTTATGACATTAGTAAACGATTTAATTTTCACAAGAGTGGTGACATTGGTAAATATTTAACTTCCACAAGAGTAGTGACATTGGTAAAAGATTTAATTTCCACAAGAGAAGTGACATTGGTAAAAGATTTAACTTCCACAAGAGTTGTGACATTAGTTAAATATTTAATTTCCACAATAGTTGTGACTATAGTAAAAGATTCAACTTCCACAAGAGTAGTGGCATTAGTAAAAGATTTAACTTCCACGGGAGTTGTGACATTAGTAAAATATTTAACTTCCACAAGAGTTGTGACGTTAGTTAAAAATTTAACTTCCACAAGAGTTATGACGGTAGTTAAAAATTTAACTTCCACAAGAGTTGTGACATAAGCTAAAAATTTAACTTCCACAACAGTTGTGACATAAGTTAAAAATTCAACTTCCACAAGAGTTGTGACATTAGTAAAAGATTTAATGTCCACAAGAGTAGTGACATTATTAAAAGATTTAATTTCCACAAGAGAAGTGACATTGGTAAAAGATTTAACTTCCACAAGAGTAGTGACATTAGTAAAAGATTTAATTTCCACAAGAGATGTGATATTGGTAAAAGATTTAACTTCTACAAGAGTTATGACATGAGTAAAAGATTTAACTTCCACAAGAGTTGTGACATTAGTTGAATATTTAACTTCCACAATAGTAGTGATATTAGTAAAAGATTTAATTTCCAGAAGAGAAGTGATATTAGTAAAATAAATAACGTCCCTAAGAGTAGTGATATTAGTAAAAGATTTAACTTCCACAAGAGTTGTGACATTAGTAAAATATTTAACTTCCACAAGAGTTGTGACGTTAGTTAAAAATTTAACTTCCACAAGAGTTGTGACGGTAGTTAAAAATTTAACTTCCACAAGAGTTGTGACATTAGTTAAATATTTAACTTCCACAAGAGTTGGGACATTGGTAAAAGATTAATGATGATTTTTTGCAGGAACATACCTTAGCATCAGTCGTACATAATGTAATATCCTTAGGAAAATGATTCCGAGTCCTTTATAGAAAATGAAGGGGTTTGAAGAAAGGTTGGTAAGCTTCTCTCATAGACGTTTTGGGTCAGATTTATATCGTGTTCATACTAGATACTTAGTAAAATAAGGTAATTGAGTGATGTAAGCAAATAATTTCATTATCAACAAAGTCGGTCACAATCACAACTTCATAATTATTTTTAATCAAGATAAGATTCGATGGCAAACCACGTTGACATGTTAACCTGCGTAGTATCTCTGTGTCTGCTTTCGTCTATCATCGCTTTAAAACGTTGTAAATACAAGATTGTTTTCACAATAGGATTAAAGATTTGGCTCATGGAAATAGACTTCGAATACTAGGAAAAGATATTTTGCTTTTTTCATGGTAACACCTGCTACATATTCGATGCATTAGTTACAAAAAGAAACACAACCTTATTGCAGTCAGCAGGAACCAAACATAGGGTATTTCAGTCAATATTACATGTAGCTTGGTACCTTGACTTAAACAATATTTTTAAGTGGATATCAGTGACGCATTTACATCTAGAGTTGCAAGATAATAATATAGATTAAAAGAAAACATACCCGGGAATACCCTCTACCTCATTATATTTCATTGACCGCAGCTTGAAGACATCCCCAGTCTTATATAAGGCGTACACTTCATGTTGTTATGTACATATGTGTATACTTGATGTAAACCAGAGTAAACTATGCATCAATGCAATTAAGGATTACTATTAGTAACAATGGATGTGTTTGGGTAGAAGGGTTGCAATCTTTTATAGTTGATCATATCCATTTCACCCACTTCGTCATGCTTCCAGTCTCGTAAAATAGACAGGGGGGCTCGAAATTCGAAATGGAGATGATCAATTATGCAAATGTAACAGGACTCTGTGGAATGTGCTCCCGTATGAGGTACAGGCAGTGAAAAACACACCCTACTCACGGGAGCAGTAGTACAAAGCTAATAATAAAATCAAAGGAATAGTAGTCACATCATATGAGTATCAGTATCGCAGATATACCGGAACGATGCTACGAGTAGGAGCATTGGTCTGTAATCAGATTACCTCCACATCTCAACAACCTTTCACCTGACGTCAAACTACTACAGCCAGCCATGCAATGTCAACACGAAATCATTGAGCACAGTGAAATTCGGGTCTGGTGTCCTCTGTACCGGAAACTTATTCACCGACAATTTGGCAATGAGGTGTCTCGTACACTTGCATGCTGGATATTCTAATCAGGGATTTAATATCTTTGTTCCCGAACCTACCGTGTTTCCATTTTGCAAATGGATTCAAATTTACAGTATTGCTCGATACAGAAAGTTGACAGACACATGCACACAAGTTATAAGATAACTGCAGGTTGATGAAGACTATGGGCAAAGGTCATGGTCACCCTCACGAACTTATTGGGACATATTTGTGGTTTAGTATTTGATTACAATCACGAGTGTGTCTAGTGCATTCTTTGTCACCACAATGGTTCTCACTTACTTGAAGGGTTAAAGGTTAGAATTTGGGTTTAAGGACGTCATATTGTAATGATTGCATCTAGATTTATCATTCACATCAATATCGTCGACAAATCAGAAGACGCTTACGCTTCCGGAACATGTGGTCTCATTCCTCTAGTTACTTTGCTAGGGATATATCTGTAATCTCTCCTTCGTTCATACCTTGTCCTAATTTCATCGACTTTGTGTACGTAGTACGGTTTTGTTTCCACTTCGGTATTTTGTTGTTGTTAACTTTCCACTAATTATGGTGTATACTAATTTAAATAAAGAACCCCGTACTGTACATTTTAGAAATTTGTCTAAATATAGTTTGCTTATTATTGATTTGCTGCTGAACGATTATGATCTTCTCCGTCCAGATAACGATACCATCTGTCTCATTGTTCAAAACTATATTTAAAATACTGGCCGCTTTAAGTAAGTTGTGTATGCACTCAAATATAAAGATATGGAAATAAGTTTCGCCTTTTATAACTCTCATCGTGCTGTGATAAGTGTGGCAGTGTCCCCTAGTGGCTATGTAACAACATGTTCGGTCCTCCTTCGGTGAAGATATACATTTGTTTAACACAAACACGTAAACGATATTGTATACTAAGACTTTCTCGGAAGATACAATAGAAATATAAAAACGAGATATTTTTTTAATTTTGTTTTCTATTTAGCGACGGGAATATATTCTACCCTGACCACAGTGACAACTATGGGGAACAAATCGTCCTTACCGAGTCCAAGAACGATGAAGGAGTTACGGGCGGTGTTATCGGACGAGTACACGAATGAGGAGATATTGGGATGGTTTGAACAATACAAGGCATCCCTATCGAGGGGTGAGTCAAAGCTTACTATGGAAGCCTTCATCAGGGTATATAGCAGACTATTTGAAGGCGAGGCGTCGAACTTCGCTGAACAAGTGTTTCGCGTGTTTGATACCGACGGCAACGGAGTTGTGGATTTCAAAGAGTTCATGATGGGTATTTACGTGTCTGGGTCTCCACTAGAGGAAGACATGAAGCTGGATTGGGCCTTTAAGATGTACGATATGAACGGGGACGGCTACATCACCAAAGACGAGATGAAATTTATGTTCACGGTAAGACAAAAATCACAATACAACATACTCTTGAACTAATACGGTATTGTTATAATAAGTTTAAAAATCATGGATCCTCGCACTATTGTGAAATAGTTACGCTTAATTTGCCTCAATTTTTGCAGTTTGACCTATGACCTTTGGTGATAAACAGATCTTTAATTAAAATTTAATTAAAAACAATTGCAACAATGTTGTACACTTCCTCTATCGCTGGGCTATTGCTTAATTGATAACTGGGTTATTTGTTTGTAAACACACTTACGCATTTAGGATAACAGAATGGTAGTCCAGGTCCATGTCGGCAAACTTCATTGTTCGATAATTGGGTACATAGTCATGTCGACAAATCAACCCCTATACCACAAATATGTTATGAAACTGTATGCATAAATTTGATACATTTAGCTTATGTCATTGTACCCATATCGACACCGTCATGGTTTCATAATAACTTTTACCTACATATACTAACACTCTTAGTCGAATGTTATTTTGATGCAAATGTAGAGTATTTTTATCATTAACGTAGAAATTGAGAAACCAATAATTATATATTACTAGAAAATTGTTCTCCCAAATTCTCTTAAATCAAATTAATAACATACATGCACAGAACAACAAGCCACACGCTCTTGTTGTTGTGCTTGACTTGTGGGGCTGTTATTGTGGCCAGTCCTCACAAACTATACTTTAACAAACATGTAGTTGGAATTGACATTTTTGAAGCGAAAGAAATGCAACATAATGTCAAAAGTTCGACAAACGTCTTAAGCATCAAAGAAGAAGTTTTACATAGTATAACTATTGCACAAAATCATAAATATCATTTACTTTGATAAAGGTAGGTATTACCAGTCTGTGTACATTTTTGTATTTTAACATTGCCGATGATTATTCACAGTATTAATACTTGTTAATTTTCTGGATCTTTTTCAGTCTATTTGTCGCATGACATTAGCGCAGATTTCGGGAAATAATTCAACACCGGAAGAACTAACCGACTACTTCTTTGAGCGTTTCGATGAGGATAATGACAACAGAATCAGCAACAAGGAGTTCGTCTCGCGAGCGAGGAACCACAGGGAGATAATACACATGCTAGAGATCAACCCGTGTCCAGATGATTAAATACGCTCTCATCCCATTTACTAAACATTGACCTTTCGATTCATTTACCGTGGAGCTTCGTTAATCCAGCCACTGTGTCATTAAGAATGGAAGCATGACCACTCTCATTTTTTTTTCGTGGTAGTCTTTGGGAGATATTCTTTATCAAGTTTGTCCTCTTTTTTCCGATCGACTCCGAAGTAGGTCAGTGACATTTAGAGAAATAATTCTCAAAGTTCCTCATCCGCCCCTCCCAGAGTCTTTGGCGATGCTTTATTGCCATAACGTATATCTCCTGGTCATGAGCATAACGGTTTTGACGAAGAAGTTGTTCTTGACAGCATGGAGAGCAGCTAAAACTTACTGCTCTATGGTACACACCTTCGTTTAATATCATGCACCTAATGATATGAGTTATAGATAAAAAATGCAATAAAAGAGGAAAATATAATGTGATATTATGATTAACGAAAAAGTACATCACAACAAAAACTATGATTCCTAATCTGAGTTTGGGAACGATATTGATTAGGAGATCGCGTGTGTATACCCGATTGTATGTACAGTGTAATATAAAGACTAATACTGCACAATCACTGGTAATAACACTGCCGTGAAAGAGACAGGTTCACTTTGAACAATCCGGAATGTGTGGTTAAACAATTATGTCTCAATAAACTGTTAGTGATTTGTAGAACTGAACATACTGCTAATTTGTAATCATAACATCTATTCCTCGAAACAGCTTCATTGTGTGTGGCGAATAGTGGCAATGATTGGTTTTGTTTTCACTGCAGATTTTTTAATAATGCTTAGTTAAATACAATAGTTATATTTTCAAAATTCATCCTACATAAAGACTGGTTTTAAGTGACAAGAAGTTGTCACATGTGTCTAAGCGCGTTTTACGATATTTACGTCATTTTGTAGGTATATATTACGATGTTTAAGCAGCAATGATCAACGGCAATTGTCCAGCTTGATTTTCAACATTAAAAAGTAATATTTACATTTGGGCTGCATCCTTTCATTGCAATGCATTGCGAAGGCAAATGCTGTTGTGAGACTATAACAACATTTGCTAATGTAACGTCATCAATCTCTATTGTGATGTCATCAGTTTCATTGTTGTCAAGACTTAATCTGCTGTTCAATATAACTGTTCGAAATAACTAAACAAAGCGTAACTACTGCCAATATGTCAATATAAATATTGAATATTTCAGCAAATATTGTTATGTCCTATAACACACAATTTATATCGCTGTCGGGCTTTCTAAGTTTGTCATCAATAGAATGTGTGTGATAGGACCATAACAACATTAGCTAAATCATTCATTGCTTAATTAACACAGACATGGGGATATGTTTATCATAAATGTTACCGAGAGTTAAGTGAGCTTCATCTCAAGAGTCAAAGTTCAAATTACCGCAGTACTAAAATAGTAGTTCTCTTGTGTTTACAGACTACCTTTTGCAGTTTGAAATCATATAGTATTACAATAACATAAAGGACTCACGAGGCCAACACGCACATCTTGTCTATGACAGTGATAGACACCCGGGACGTCCTGGCACAATTAGCATGTATCGTATAACCTTATTTTTTTGTTGGCGTGTTTAGATGATACAGAAAAAAGAATTAACGACCGGTTTAAACATCATATAAGTATCATTTATAAGCCCTCTTATTTGATGTGTTTTTAAGTCTTGTAGTTACGCTGTATACAGTCCTTCTGTTCTTCCAAACATAAACTTTTGCTATGTGAAGTGTTGTCTTTGCATTGCATGTGTCCCGTTACCAAAATTACGGTTAAAAAGTGGAGAAAAAAAGTACAATATGAATATTCTACCCTCGCCAAAGCCTCGTTTTTGACACCAATTTCAACCCTCGTATAAGATCCATATTCCACATACCTTCACATGATAGACTGTTAATATGATATGTGTAGGCATGGTTACAAAAGCGGAAACTAGAGTGGACAGAGTCTAAAAAACATTTTCCAAGGCAATATGAGTGCAACCCGATGCGAACGTACTTTGAGCTGCATCCGATTTCCAGCGACCCACTTTTGGGGAAGTTCTCAGAAACCCCCCTTAGCTGCTGTGAGGGTTTTGCCCCTATTTGAAAACCTTGATGCGCTTTGTAAATATGTGGGTCCAGGTTTGTGAAAGCTAAAACTGATTGCAGCTTTTTTAAGAAATTTGAAAACGGTACCGACGATGAAAACAACCGGAAAAATGGACAAGTTCTGCGCTGCAAAAGCTGTAGGTATTGATGAAATGCATTAACGGGGCATTAGAATTAGGAAAAGAAGGTAGGAATTTCAACCAGATGATGTTAGTCGAAGGTTGTTTTTGGATTGCATTGGAAAGAAACATCTTTGACATGGAGAGTTCTGTTTGTTGAATTGCTTTAAGAGTGAATTCACTTATTCTTTGGAAAGTGTGAAACGCCTCAAAAAGACCCCCAAAATAGCGCGACACAGCAGATCTTTGCGAAAGGATGTTATTACTTTTTCAGTTGCATGCACACTTTTCCAACGATATTTAATGCTATAGATAATTTAACAACCATCTTCCCTTTATGTGTTGTGCACATCCTCGAAAAATGTATTAGTGAAAAACAGTGAAGGTTACGTAAACCATGTCAAAACTAAAGCTTGAAACGAATGAAATTTTGAGCAATAATTGTACTATGTATCTGGATAAAAACCCGTTCAGATACTGTAAATATGACTTGGGTAGGATATTTATTAAAAAGGAAAGTTAAGAAATGCTGCAGTTTGTAATTAAAGGAACTATGGAAACTGACAGCAGCTTATTGATTATAACACTGTCATTAGGCAAGATGGGATTTCTACTGGCTGTTTGTTTTACTAAGGAGTCGCTTGAAACGCTTCCTGAATTTGGAAACGTGACCATCTCTCAGTAACAGAGAAGGAAACCCCTTGTATGTATTTTGCCATGAAATATATATGTTATACTCAAGAGTAGCCAATACTTAACGTATGACTAATACCATTAAATATGTGTCTTTCGATGTTTTCTTATCATTAAGCTGCTTGTGAATAAAACAGATACCGAATAAACTGTATAACACATATATCTAGATACAAGATAGCCATACGCCTCTGGGCGGTCGAATGGATATGCTAAACATCAGCATACAAATTTTGTAGCAACTGTTTGTTTCTGTTGTTAGACAGTAACCCCTGAGGCTTTTGTAAGCCGCTACTTTCGGTATGTACTAAGTTAAGTTCCGGAACTTAAAAAAAAGACAGGAAAAATGGTATGTGACATTGTTGACGTAATTCAAGTCTTACTCGGTGGTATTTTGTTTGTTTGTTTGCTTGTTTGTGTTTTACGTCGTATTAACAGCTATGGTCATTGGAAGACGTGCCAGGTTCTGATTGTGGAGAAAAGCCGGAGTTCCCGGAGAAAAACCACCGACCTACGGCCAGTACCTTGCTACTGTCCAACGTAGGTCTCGAACCCGCGACCCAGTGATGAAAGCTAGTGGTAGCAGAATGTCAGACGCCTTAACCACTTGGCTACCGCGGTAGGAATATAGTCGGATGAATATATGGACATATACATTTCAAAATTAAGGCAATTTTATTATATATACATCTTTAATATCTTGCATGTTGTTATAAACGTAGTGAAACATGCTAGTTTGCACTGCGTTGAATTTGAGGTATCGAAAAAATTGTTTATATAGTTAGCCCTTTTAAATGGCACCACTACCCTGACATTTACCGTTCCATCAATCCAGGATTACACAGGTATCCTTATATAAAACGTCCTTGAGGCAGCGCTCTGTGTGGTAAGGCCTGTTATATAATACTTCGTGAGACATCAATTACGTGTAGCTTCCTGAACCAAACCTTTTTTCAATTGGTGTACCGCGCAGGTATGCACAACACCTGTCTTTTCATCTTGGTCAAAATACGAGGGATTGGGGAAACGTGCAAAATCTACCGAAGCGTATTAGACGAACGAATTAATAACTAAGCTTACCTACATGTAATTTAAAAAAAATCATAAACAAGAATAATTATTCAATTTTTGACACAGATATAGGTCTCTATATAATGTCCTGCCAAAGATAATTTACATGTATATAAATTACCGATGGGCGGATCTATGTGTCTATATATAACAATTCCCATCATAGAAGGGCGTGTGACAAAGAAAAACCATATTCATTTGCTTCCGTGATAAAAATAGATGTATAACAAACAGATGCAGAAAACAGGCGAGGCACAAACACGATATCTGCATTGTTTCTGAAGGAAATCCCAAGATCCTAGTTTTTGTTATATTTCGTATACAAATTATACGCCCCACACTGTGTGTCTATCGAGGCGTCGTACGAAAGGTTCAGTCAGCCTAACGACATAATATTGAAATATTCCAGCATGATACAACACATGTTCAAGGGTACGGTACTTGTCCCAGTCTAAAATAACATTTTTATCAATAGAAAACCTTACGACAAGTCTCACTGAAATGACTACGTTCAACGCCTGATAGAAAACTAAGATAAATTTTAACGTCAGTACACGAAGAAGCAAATCGGAAATCAAAGTTAATAAGAAATTACAACTTCAGTAACAGAACGTATGGAATAGTATATTATCAGAGTAGAATCAACGGAAACACCAGCATTTGAACCAAAATAAGAATGACAAGGATCACCACGACAACAGAACGTATGGAATAGTATATTATCAGAGTAGAATCAACGGAAACACCAGCATTTGAACCTAAATAAGAATGACAAGGATCACCACGACCGAAATGTTGGGTGTCGAAATATCTAGATAATTTGAGATTGGAAGTATATGGTATCCAGGGCCCGTATTCATAAAACCGTTCTCATGCTAAAGCATGGATTTTGTGCTCAACCCAAATTTTTTGTTCTGGCTGTAAATTAATAAGAAAAACTTATTCTGTCAATGATTTTGGAAAAAATTTGAAGAGATTTAAAGCCGAATACTGTTTTCAAGGTTTAAACATGACTTTTTGATGGTTTGACATGATTTCAGTGAGTAACAAGAAGGTTGGTTTGAGCACAGAATCCATGCTTGAGCACCAGAACGGTTTCATGAATACGGGCCCAGGTCAATAAAGGTTTTCTCAATGTCAGAGAATTAGTTCTGAGTAAAAAATGTTTAAGGTTCTATTTTGATGTAGTTTGTTGCGCTGAAACCTTGGCATGAAAACAACCACTACAGTACAGGACGCTACAGTGCACGTCTATTATTTGTTTTTGAACAGAATTGAAAACATGAAAATTCTAATGTTCATGTTCATGATGATTTTGAGAAGGATTTTACAGTGAGGAAATTCTGAAATAGCAATGGAGGTGTGAAAGGTCATTATCTGTAAATGGTATTTCCAACCAAAGTATTTTACACAAGCACTATCGGCAGAAGCCTTCTTCAGCACTCTTTTCTAGAAACAATCCTAATTTCCCCATCCGTAGGTTAGGTCATATAATATATATTTGGGGTTTCAACGCGGAGTGTGGGCAGCTCACATATTTTGTAGATGTTGTACATAACATTGAAGATCGGTTATTGACGGCACAAAGAAAGGTGGTCAGGATTAATTGACCTTAAAATCTGATACCAGGTTCAGCATAGTTATTTGAAGATTATGTACCATTTAATGAATTAACTCACACATATTTATTCAAGAGAGAAAAAGAAGTCGGTGATAACATGCTAGTGTCACAGGACCAGTTCTAAAGTGACGTAAAAGAGTTCTATTTAAAAAAATTATGTGGTTTTCTCCCCTTAGCCATAAAAACTGTCAGTGGTAATGTGTGCTACAATGTAGATATAGCAAAATCATATTGAAAAAGTAGATTCAATATGAAGTTAAATGTTAAAAGAAGTCATATGTTAACTATTGACACAGTAAATACTCAATACCAAATATTCATAAGTTTTATAGAAACAAAGAAATTCATGCATCCTTTTTCAACATTTTTTAATAACACACTTTTCTCTAAATTACAAAATCACTCCTCAAATGATACAAATAACACGATGCTGCAGAAACAAACAGGAAATGCGACATTATAACAAGAATAAAATCACATTACAGACTATGAATATATGTTCAATTTTGTTTTAGCATATAGCAAACGAAGAGATTCGCTTTTAAAATCACCAAAAAATAACTATTAATAGAAAATTAACGAAAAGTAAAAAGCTTACAAATGGTCAATTATTTTGAAACAGTACAAAAAAAAAAAGATTTTTATGCCTCAAAATATCAACTGTGTAGGAAAATAGATTGTCCCATGCGAAAAGACACAGAGTGTTATGTATTATACCAAACATTGACAAGAAAACAAATATTCTAAAAACACGGCAAGGAATGTTTACACAGACCATACAAACATGACCAATACGTGGGCGAGGTACGTTATGTTTGGAATGTTAACAAAAAACATACAGATACCAATACCCGGAGACGCCACGCAGAGGTATGGCTAGATAGCATAAACATTCGGAAATACCACAATATAGCAATGACCAAATGAAGGTAAACACAAAATGGTAATACCAGTGGAACAAATACGTCTGTGTACAATATGAATATTTTTGTAATTGTTTTGTTTCAAATGTTGGAGGGAAAATGGTTGAAATTTCATAAACTTTAAATATAGAAAGTTTCCATATGTTTTGCTTTATATAGATATATAAAATTACTATCTTCTTTCACAAAATAGGACACAATAGGTTGATTTGAATACGAGCACAAGTTAATAACGGTTACCGTTAAAGATGTTGCGATTTGATTTTTTTTACACTCCGACATGGCTGATATATCTGTATCCCATAACTGCTACGTGTTACAGACTACCAGCTCGTGGTTTAATTCTTCACATAGAGAATCAAAATAATGTCATTTGACGTCATACCACTTCGTGACGTTACAATTGCATTAATAATTTCATCACTCGGTATTTTGTTTTAAACTAGACAATGAGCTTGTTTGAATCTCTTGTTATCTCCATCAAATATTGACACATGCTTATAGATAGCAGTAAGATATAATGAAAGAAAAACATATTTGTTCCCTTTATTGATAATTATTGTTCTGTTGATTTCTATAAAAAAAATCATCTATACAATGCATAACACTTACTAATATAGAAAACAAATCATATAAAAAATATACCGACATTATCGGGCACAACATTGAAAACGTGAACAATATGAAATGGAAAAGTATTTCAAGTGAAAACGTTACAGTATGTGTTGTGATTGAAAGCATAGGGCTTTTTGGCATCTCTGTGAGAGTTCCAATGTATGTTTGAATTAATACACCTTATACTAAATATGTTTGATCGTTCTTGTTCTTCTACGATTCATTTGCAACGAGTGCTCTGATTGGATAAGGACCATGTTCTAATCTGCGACAGAGACATGGTTTCATCGTGTTAAGCCCCGCCCATCGCATGTTGGCCACGCCTCGTTGCTATCCAAAACAACGTCACAATTATTCCTTGATCGTAATTTAATTTATACATTGATTTATTACTGAAACTTACACCAGATCAATATGTAACTAAATCCACAAAACATAAACAAATATTTCACATGTAGGCATGCACAATTATCATGATTATCTGTGTTATATGTAATTTACACATTAACAACAAAAAAAGTTAATATTGTCTTGTTAGGAATCCCTACTTGTTATTATCTTCTTGGGGCTTTGGAGGGGATCCATTCCGGCAAAATGATTTAACATTTGAAATTAAAATATCCGACATCAATATATTAAATTTTAATAAAAATGTATGTCAAACAAAAGATATATTTGGCAACTATTATTATAGTACTATTGAGATTTGTCCCTTTGACGATTTCATCCTTGACAATAATGTAAACATGAATCTAGATATGTTGTGATTTATCACATTTTGTTAATTGATTTCTGCAAATGTATGGGAATGGTAAGATTTAGTAACTAACTTTCCAAGTGAAGAAGTTGAGATTTTAAACTACAAACTTAAATATGACGGGTGTAACAATGGAGATTAAATGATATAGTTGTAAATTATAATTTAGATTAGAAATTCAATCACACAAAAACATGTGCCGATGTATCAGGAGAAGTAATACATATAAGGAAGTTGATTGATTAGTAGTATAATACACACGTACATGTATATAAAATGTATTGCATCCCAGAACAACTTTATATTTCACATATTAAGTTGCTTATAATACAAATTATACGAAATAAATATTAAAATCGTTTTGAGGTACATACCGTGAAAAATGCAAATGTGATTAAACTTTTAATGTAATTACCTCAGAATTGACGAGTCAAGATAAATACACTACCTGTTTGATATGTTTTCCTTACTGTCGTATGGTATACAGGTCGGTAGTCATACGTATTTTTGGCATGTACAACAAAACAATCAGGATGTATATAATCATACAAAAATATATCATTCAAAATTTATTTTGCGAGCTATCTTTCAGTCGATTGTATGTGTAATGTTACATTTCAAGTTTACGAAGCTTAGCTGAAGCAATTTATGTAAATCGGAGATATCCAGTTTTAGATATATTTATTAATAAGTGTTTACATATATATACACTGCATATATGTACGTGTGTGTGTGTGTGTGTGTGTGTGTGTGTGTGTGTGTGTTCGTGTGTGTTCGAATTGAAAACACGCTCACAATTGCATCCCTACCTTATTGAAAAATAATCAGAGCTTTGTAAATAAGGTCATTATTAAGATTTGAGCTAAATGTTTTTTGTTTTTTTGAGATATGTGAACCCGTTCATACTAAATGTACCATTAATAAATTCAGATCAAATTTGTGACAAAAAATAGTTTTGTATAAGATTTCAAGAAAATAATTTTAACTTTAAAAATGTCGTCAGATCTTTGGAAAGTCTATGATATTCTACTATAACAATACAGAGATGGAATGTTAACACGTGTTTACAACAGTTTATTGTATTCTGTCCAATCAGCTGACAGCATGGTGGTCGTACGTGATAAGTCCAAGGGGCATGACCTGTTTGGCATCGAACACCACGTACTCCTGTGTCATCGTGCTTTCCTCTAACCCACAGTCCCGAGAGGGCTTCAGGCGTCCGGGTGTCTGTGGGGGAAACGTTTTAATGTCGTATTTTCATAATAAAATTGAATTGAGAACCAAATTAAGAATACACCCAGGTGGGGAATCACATTTTCATATGTTCTGTAACATCATATTGACGGCAAATTGCATGATGTTGGGCTAAATCCATTCGTTCTTAGAGGACTATTAGAGCACAACAATGGTATGCATGCTTTCATTTCGGTATGCGGAGATTGACTACTAAACAAGTCGATCAAAAACATGAATGATTATCTCTAATCTTGGTGTCAGTGTTTTGAATTAATCTACATCACTTGCAATCTTTAAAAGTCGACAATAATATGTTGTAATAAGCGTTGTTGTTCCATTTCATTGAACAGACGACAGTTGGATTTACAAATTTCCAAGGGGGGGGTCTTGAAGCCTAAAAAAACTATGGATCCGGCCACTGGACGACACAAGGGCAGTCGATGGCATAAAGGGCGCGTTCACANACTTTTAAACAAAATTATCAGGTGTGGGGGAGGGGGGTTAGGGAGGTCTTGAAGCCTAAAAAAACTATGGATCCGGTTACTGGACGACACAAGGGCAGTCGATGGCATAAAGGGCGCGTTCACAAATTAATCAACAAACAAACATTCCATATAAGTCCCGTCACTTTGACGATATACGATCTACTGGATATACTTACGATTATGGAGTCGTGACCAGGATGTGGTGACTTTCTCGCCCTGTCTTGCTTTGTGATGCTTTCTATGTGCCCCAGTCCAGCCTCAACAAGTAGGATCTTCCTCACCTGTCACAGACAAGTCGTCACCCAATTAATGACTATACAACATAGTAACATAGCATGGCGACAATATTTAAACTGCTACGCAACATAGTACAATATTAATATAGTGATATAACATCGTAACAACGCTACACAATATCGTAATGTAATATATATATATATATATAGCATTGTTTAAACTATTATACAACATGGTTATATAGTAACATTGTCACAGCTGACTACAAACGAAGTAATAAAGTGTGTCAACGTTGTTATACTGATTACACAAGAGGTAAATAAAGTGGGTATATTTATGGGTAGCGTTGTTCCATGAAACTATAATGTTTGCCTTTTTACCACTAATAAGTTTTGATTTCACCAAATCGAAGTGAAACAGCGACATTGAAACGTACTTCGATAAGAGAGTTCAGGACATCGACCTAACAACTTATAGGGAGCGATGTTTGTATACAACAGTTGTTAAAGGGGCTGGTCGGGGGAAAAAATGTCATATTTGCTAAAATGGCATACACATGTTTAAAATCCTTTCTTATGAAATATACCTATACAAATTTTGCTGAAATTCACTCCCTAAGAGTAAAAAATATAATAGAAATCCTAAATCGTCACCTGACAGTCTAAAACTCTCAAATGACCCAGATCAGTGATGTAATTTTACCGCACGCGCGTCATCAACAAGGCCAAATGTAAACATCGCGGCAAAAGAAAAAGATGCATGCAAAAGTCATGACAGGCACGAAATATCAATACCGTTATATATAACAACAACATATAGGTAGGAATACTACACTTGCATCATACATGACCATTGAAAACAATTATTTACGTATAGTATTGCTGTCTTGTCCGCTAGTTGAGTCCGACATGGCACATGACGGCGTGCTATTGTTATCTTCACTGCCACACTTTCGAAACCACCACGTGACATATATAAATAGATCTGCGCTAAATTTACTCGGGGCTTCCCCGAGATTTCAGTGGTCAAAACTGGACATTTCAAGCAGAACTCGACCATCATATTGCCTTGGTATAACTTTTGGAAGGCCAGAGAACGGATTTAGACCCATTTATTTTGTAATTTTTCCAGGACCAGCCCCTTTAAGCTCTTACAAAGCCCTCTTCGCATCTCCCACATCTAGCAAATGCAAACAAGTGAGACTGGTCTTGGACAAGTTTAATTTGCTCGGCGTAGATATTTCCCTGCATGATGCCTAAGAGGAATATTAGTGACAAATGTCTCTGACGAATACTTATGTACTCACCCCTGAGAAATGAGCCGCCTTTGAAGGGTATTTTGAAAAGTAAAGACCTCTTCCGTATTCTCCATGTATGAAATCTATAAAATTAAAAAAAAATACTGACAAAACTTCTTGACGTTTATTCGATGAATACGTCTCTCGTGTAATATGAAACAGTTTCCAATCGGCACAATCGTGTTATTCATTCATCACAAAATATTTTGAAATTCATCTTTGATAAATACTTTACTTTCCTATAATTGAACGTGGCATTTCATTAAGTTATTTTACATAAAACAACTTTTCCGATCAGCATGCTGTTCAAGCTCACCTGACTCTGTAAATCCATGTGTGAGAATGTCTGGGATCCTTTCTGGATGTTCCAGTGTACCACAGTAGTAAAGGTCAACCACTATGGAGGAGTCAATCAGGGTACTCAGCTTGTTCTTGTAGTCCTCCATGAACTGTTCTGTCAGCGTAGCCTGCATTGCAGAAGAAATAACAGGATATAAAGTATTGCTATGTCAGGGTGGCTTATATAACGTAGTAACATGTTGTTTTGTCAGCGCAGCCTGTCTGCCAGGCAAGATAGCAGAGCATGATGTCTTGCTTTGCCAGAGTGGCTTATATAACTGAAGAAATTACTGGTTATAACATATTGTTTAGTCGGGGTTGTCTGTATCACAAGAGAATTTACAACACACGATGTCTTGTTTCCTCGGGGCAGCCTACACCACAGGCTGAACTACTAGTTAAGTATCCAGCATTACCAATACCCCCACAATGTGCAGATAAAACTGTAGGTGACGTATTGCCTCACAAATATTTTTATACTTCATTTGTCATCAACAATGTTTTCCTTTTTTACTTTACGTAAGTAGAAGTAAGAAGTTTTCAGGAAACTATTAGTATAGAAGAGAAAAGGTTCACGAAGATGAGAGGATGGTCATACCTTTGAGATTGTGGTGACTTCGTTATTGCTTTTCACTGCGGGATCTAGCTTCATAGACTTTTTAAATCGTTCCGTGACATCATAAAAGAATGCAGCATCTTTCATGTGGTCATAGGGTTCCGGTGTATTGCGGGCGTTGGAAGGCGGGAAGGACACATACTTGCTGTCATCTGTATGAAAACAGAATCTCAAATGATTAAGCTTCAGTGGAAGACGGGACATATTCGTTCTGTAGGCTACATATAACACAAAAGCTTGTTGCTATTTATTATTAAATTCAATGGCAGATTTTACAGCTCTTCCTTCTTTTGGCGTACAAAAACGACAATCAACAACGTTTTGTGGCGTACACAAACGACAATCAACAACGGTTTTTGGCGTACACAAACGGCAATCAACAACGTGTTTTAGCGTACACAAACGACAATCAACAACGGGTTTTTTTTGGCGCACACAAACGACAATCAACAACATTTTAATTAATTAAGAAGTTTTGTTACAGTAAAAATACATCACACTTGTCTCATGATATTGGGTATATATTGCATCATTCACTCCTTTAGGTAGACATATGTAAATGCAGATATTTTGTCAGCGGTTGTGGTTGAAATCTGGATGATAGGTTGTAAGATACGTCGGCAAAGATGTTCATTCATAAGATATTTAATCAAATACAGAATTATGTAACTGCACTGCATACCTGCGCTATAATGTTCAACCAATATTGATCTTTATTCTCAACTGACTTTATACAAAATACCCACACACTACAACGAGTGTGATATACAAAAGAACGTTGCTGATTAAAAACCAGAACACAAATACTTTCTTGAAATTTTTTCTGCCATTTTTCTTTCACAAAAAAAGTTACTTATAATGATTCATATTTCTTATGTATTTTAGATATATGGATTTATGTCGATCAGAAGTCGGCCTAGGATGATCACCTTTGAAAACATTTTTGAAAGGGCGTGAATGGACAAGACAGGTGATACTATTTTTCTTCTGTCATTTATAGTAAAGAAAAGATATCCAAATAACCAACTGGTTGACACTGAGGGGACACTTGGTTGAACGGCTACTGAATCTATGTTTACAAAGAACAATAAAACAATTGTATTTGAAAATGAAGAAAAGTAACGGTGTAGCTCCACATAACATGTGAGAACTTGTACAAATCAAGGTTCTAGACTCAAAAGAGTGAGTCTGGTTAGTCTTACCAACTTACCAAATGTCATGAGCTTGCTGTTCTTTTCAGGGTTAGTCTCTAGCAGAGATTCGAGGCGCTTCTTCTTTATGGTGAGATCCATCGAGTCAACTTGTTGTTGAAGTTCGTTAATGAGATCTTCTGAGCTTATTTCGGAGCCATCATCTAAAATTAGGACCACAAAACACGCTTACTTAATGGATCTAAGAAGTATTTCCCCCCAAATGATGGTCAGCATCCTGGGTAGCTATACTAAATAAGAGGTCCAAAGTACGAAAGTAATGTATTTGTAAGCTCTTTCTCTATTCCTACCCTAATCAATACAAAACTTCCCTTATATCACTGAAGTTAAAGCATGAGCTAACCCAGGTCACGGACATTGCCATGTACATATCATATTACAACTTCAATATTCACGTACAACACTTCTCTTCTATACACAGCTCCCTGGCCTTCTGACATAAGTTCATGTTGGCCTATATATATATTCAAAACCCTGTTGTGAACAAAATCGCAAAGGTTAAAGTTACAACACAAACAACCAATGAATACCAAAATCCTGTTGTAGTAGGGCATCTTCACAAATACAAGAAATACTCACAGTTAAACAATCTTTTTCCAAATTGTCAAAAACAAAATAGGATTTGCAGAGTCTAGTGTATTTAATCCAGTAACAAACAGATTTGAGTTAATACTTCAAAAAGTAAAGAACGTCTATACGCTAATTGACCAAATAACAAACATGATATCGTAAAGGCTTTCTACTGTCACGTGCACAGCGCCACAGGTTTAAGTCAACAATAAACTGATACAGCGTCCCTGTTAACTACACCAATAAATAGCAGCTGTTTACCTATAAGTATTGATTATGACGATCTCTATACCTGCAGCGTAACACTGTGTTGTGTTGTCGGATGATGCTATATATATATATATATATTAAGTACCACAATGTGACAAAGAATTATGTGACAGTCAGATTTCATCATAGTGCTCATATGCCTATTGTTATAGCAACATTTACCTTACATCATGCATGTATGTTCTCCCTGAGACTAACTCGATTATACTGACAGTACATATATATATATCTTGTCCAACAACTTACCTTGAACTACATGACAGAATATATTACAGAAGCAGTGTGGTTCTAGTACAGACTAGTACAAGTAAACCGTCTAATATATGTTCATAATTTATCAGAGTAAAGTGGCTCCAGAAAGACAATTCACACTACATCACATACAAAGTAGATTTAGAATGTCGAAGAACTCCACAGTACAACGTGGCTTTAGAATGCCAAAGAAAATATTAGTACAGTGTGGCTTTAAAATGCCTTAGAACACAGCAGTACAACGTGGCCTTTGAATACCAAAGACACAAGTACACCTTGGTTTTTGAATGGCAAAGAAAACCATAACACAACATGGCTTAAGAATGTAAAAGAGCCAAAGTACAACGTGGCTTTGGAATGTCACAGAACACCACAGTACAACGTGGCTTTAGAATGCCAAAGAAATACATCAAAATAAGTAGCAAAGCGACAAGTATCTCTAATACGGATCAAAGTTTGTGAGAGAAAAAACAATCTCTTTATATAATTTTGTTATTTCATGACACAATTAACACAAGAACGCACAATGTAATACAACGTGAAATCTCCGTTGGTACCTTCTTTTTTGAATGCATTCATATCGTTAAGTGGTAGAATCTTTCGAGGATTCCCCATATAAACAAACAGTATATCAATTAAATGTGTTGAAATTATTTTTGTGGTTCCTTTAAAATACAAACGTTTCTACATAACGAACATTTTATGTTATATGATATTATGTGCTTGCGACGTGTTTACCATGTTCTATAAAATGGGTTATGGATTGATATTATTCCTTTTACAAGATAAAGTAATAAGGTTGTCATTTACCTGAATTTGATCTTTCCAGTAAGAGTGAAGATGCTTTTGCTGTTGAGAATTTGTATCCTAGATATTCTTTCTCTGAAAAAGACAAAAACAGTTTTACTTATTTTGTATGTCCAAAATTCAATGATTAAGACTATCAACCGCAGAATAAGGAAGCTTAAAACAAATGGTGAAAATGATGAATGTGAACCTGTAAACTGAAGAAATTGTTTGAGAACTTACATAAGAAATAGGAGTCTTACACAGTTAATCACGAGGTCATTATCCTAATAAATATTAGACAGTTTAACAATTTGTTTATTATTTAAGTCAGCCAATGATGTAGTCATTATCTCAATAGAGTCAATGATGTACTGACTATCTTAGTCTAAGTCGATATAATGTACTAAATATCTACGTCTATGATGTTCCCATTAACTTAGTATATGAGTCAATGATGTACTCATTATCTTAGTCTGAGTCAATGATGTACACATTATCTGAGTCTGAGTCAATGATGTACACATTATCTGAGTCTGAGTCAATGATGTACACATTATTTGAGTCTGCGTCAATGACATACACATGATCTGAGTCTGAGTCAATGATGTACACATGATCTGAGTCTGAGTCAATGATGTACACATTATCTGAGTCTGAGTCAATGACATACACATGATCTGAGTCTGAGTCAATGATGTACTCATGATCTTAGTCTGAGTCAATGATGTACACATTATCTGAGTCTGAGTCAATGATGTACACATTATCTGAGTCTGAGTCAATGATGTACACATTAT